ACAACCCTTTCCGTGAAGAAATTTTGCCTAATATCCAATCTAAACCTCCCCTGGCACAACTTGAGGCCATTTCCTCTCATCCTATCGCTAGTTACTTGGGAGAAGAGACCAACACCCACCTCGCTACAACCTCCTTTCAGGTAGTTGTAGAGCGCGATAAGGTCTCCCCTCAGCCTCCTTTTCTCCAGGCTAAACAACTCCAGTTCCCTCAGCCGCTCCTCACAGGACTTGTTCTCCAGACCCTTCACCAGCTTCGTTGCCATTCTCTGGACACGCTCCAGCACCTATTAAACTGTCTTTATCTCAACCCATGAATTTTACTTTTTTCTTCCCAATTCTCTCCCCATCCCACTGGTGGGGGAGTGAGCAAACGGCTGTGTGGTGTTTAGCTGCCTGCCGGGTTAAACCACAACAGTCTTACAGTTAAATAAGTAGGAATTTATGCTTTGCTGCATGAGATCTTTGAAGAAACAAGTTAATAAATTGTTACATTTTTCTCCAAAGTCTAATAAAGTTTGAAAAATATTAACAAAACTAAGAAAATTTCTGTTGTATCTGATACATATTGTTGCCATTCTTGCCTTAAAAATGTGATTTAAAGAGTAAAGTCAGCTTATTCTTGCTGCCAAGATCTATCACCTACATCTGTCCAGATCTATTGATTTCACTTGGTAAACCAATGTATCTTACTGCTACCAAATAGAGTAAAACATATACATTTCCAAATTATGAACTGGCATTTTTTTAGGCCATCTGCTTAAAAGTATTAGTCTCTGGAATACTAGGAAATGAAGAGAGACATACAAACCTGTCTAGCCATGTTCTCCTGTTGCATTTTGTTAGAAAATGATTTGCAACTGTCAATAGATATTTACACAAGAAAGAGAGTGACTTCTGCAGTGACCTTTCTTGCATAACTCTGCAATAAAGAAGTGCTTCAAATATTTACAGAATTAATGCTTAACTGAGAAATTGAAAATATACTGTTGGTACTTATTGAGTGGCAGCTGGACTATTCAAATATGGCCATAACAGTAAAAAAAAATCACGTGTTTAGTGCTTTATATCCTCTAAGCTCCTTGCAAATATTCATTATTATGTTTCCAGAACAGTGAACAAGGAAAAATCACTTAGACCTACCCACATTTAATCTGCCTGTGACTTCCCCATTTGAATTGCGAGCATTCACAGTCACATTGTGGGTCGACTGGAGAAGCAGTGATGAGTCCTGAAGTATGGAGAAAAAAAAAAAAAGTAGATTCAGCAGAATAATTAGAATTGTTAACAATTTTCAAAATTTAGTCTAGTGTTTATATTAACTCAGTCACTAAAAGAACTTTGCAGCTACAAAACCATCCACAGATGTCATCAAATAATTTGGGCAGATATTTTTGATTACTTCAACTATATCAGATTTAAAATAAGAAAAAAATTACAGAGAATACTTCAGGTGAACAAAATCTGTGTTACTGGCCCAATGAACATGGTTGCTAACATTTTATCTTTTGGAAAAAAATGCTTAAGTACTAGATTTACTACATTTCAATACATAATTGAGACTCCTAGAAGATAGCCATTTAATTGAAGTGTGAGTACCCCACTTTGTGAATTTATACTGTCATATTAACTTGGTGAGAAACATACATGTGCGTTCTGCTTCCTCAACGGTCCATGCAGCCTGTATGCTTTGGCTTGATTTTGGCACCTGGCACTGACTCTCCTGGCGAGAAAACTCAGACAGTGGGTGATGGAGAAAGTGGCAGGTTGACTAGCTCGAAGCTGACTTTAATAGATGACAGTACAGATAAGAGTGTCAGTGTAAATTAAATCGTCTCCCTGTCTGCCACTCAGAAGGATGACAGAAGTATATCAGCGGAGTGAACAGCATCACCTGCTTGTCCACATCCCTGTACCATGATTGAGCCTAATACACCCTGTGCTGTTCCACATCCGGTGTCCCAGTATACAGAATCACATCTGAAGGTCACAAAGCCATGGCACTCATATTCGCCTTAACTCTCCTCACAGGTTGCATCACAGCTGGGACATTTGCAATGTCATTGCAATAAGAGCCTCATGCCTACCCATCATTCTGTGCTACTTATGGAAGTCAGGGCATACCGAGCAGGTGTAATTGGTATCTTCATTCATCCCAACCAACCTCACCACAATCCAGACTAGCTATGGTAAGCAATTCAAAATTTCATGTCATTCTTAGACTGCAGCCAGCGTGGAATGACTTCACCAAAACCAAAATATCCCCTTGTGTTAACTCAAGGTGGCTTGGTGGTGTGCTTGTTGAACTCCTCCCGGGTGATGTAATTTCCATTACTTATTCTCAGACCTTCCACTCAAACTCTCTGTACTTCAGGCCCGTTGGAGCCTCCCCAAGCTTCTCCTTGTCTTGAAGAGCGGATGAGTAACTGTTTTGAAAGACCTAGCTGCCCACTGTGCTCCATCAGACTACATACACAGACAGTAATGAAACAGGTTCATGGCAAGAGACCTGGCAGGCGTCATTTGGAAGTGTCCTAAAACTTTGTGAGGATGGCATTGAGTGGATTCTTCTTATGTTTTTCTTCAATTTACCACCTGAATTGTCTTTAAATGCAGCTGATTTTCAGGGAGATCATACTGGCGACTGTCTTTACTTGATTTTAAGTATGAGAAAATTATCTGGGGACAGAAAGTCTGATCACGCTCATTTGGATCAGCAAATTGTAGCCACACCGGTAGACTTAAAAAAAGGGGAGGAAGTTTTTTGCAGTACAGGTGCTTTCATAGTAAAGCATACTTTGTATCTAAAGGACAGGAACCTAGTAATTGATAAGAGTGCCTAAGCACACCTCAGTTGCCAAAGTATCAGGGAATATGTGATATAAAGAGGGTATTAGCAAGCTGCCTGCTTGTGACCTCAGAGGGCATACTCATTCCTAGATAAATAAGTGAGTTTCTAACTACCGTAATATTGTTAAATATCAGTCTCTTTCACATATATGGCTTCTGGTACTTCTTCTGAACTCAAGAGACTATGCAGCACCTTGAAGGGCTAATCCCTGAAAATCACTCCCAAGTCATGTTCCCATCGTAATTTAATGCTTAGAGTATGAGATAACCTGAGAATTTTGAACACATTTTACATGAAGAATTTTACTACAAACACTTATCTAATAACAGTGGTAGAAGCAATACACAGTTTGAGTCCAACTTATACTTTTTTTTTTAAAAAAAGGGTATCTTACAAGTAGGAAGATAGACTATCTCAAAAGAAGTCACTAAGTGAGCAAAATAAATGAATCTCATTTTTTAAATTATATCAGGAAAAAGTGAAAGCTAACAATATTAACACAAATAATGAAAAGTCTTAGGAAAAAAGTAAGCAGTGTACTAGAATGAACATTAATGGTAACAAGTTAGTACGAAGTGGAAAAGGAAGGTCAGCAAAGATCAGGTAAATATAGTACATTTAAGTACATGTGCTAAATGACCCACAAATCTGGGCATCTTTATTACACTTATTTTTTAAATCAACCAGCAGCAGTCAAATAAGTTAGTAATTTGTAATATCAAATGTAAGTGCAAATAAACTGTATTCTAGACCTGCAGCTTCCACACATGCATTGTTGACTAATTAAAATCTAGTAACATATTTAAAAATGCTCATCTTTTATCTTGCCATGAATATGTATTAGCTAATATGCAACGGTATTGCCCACAACTCTGTGTTGGACTTATATGAAGGCATAAACTTGTGATAGGCTCCAGTGATGATGCACAGCAAGTAGATTTTCCGCTACATATTTTCTTAGTACTTTGGAGACCTTATTAGGTGAGAAAAGCAAGGGACTGCAAGGAGAAAACTATTAAGGCAAGGGAGAAAGCTCCTATGATAGCTGTCAGTGGCCCAATTCTCTAACAGACAAACTTAGAAAAAGAAATCATAACAAATAAGCAACTTTATGAGAATAAATATATAGATGGCACTCAGGAGATCAAGCTACAGGCAATTAAGCCTCTAGAGAGTTCAAACATTTTAAAAAGCAAGCAAACAAACAAAAAACCTCTGATGAATTATCAGTTCATAGCAGGCAGAAACACACGGTAGCCTGAAGGCTTTAATTAATGCATGCTACTAATGATCACGATGGGTCATTAGACAGCTAAGCTTATATTAGACGCTGCCACACCTCTTTCTTCCTATATTGTACTAATGTATTAAGAGCTGGAAGGAATATTAAAAGAGCATGAATGGTAGCTTAACATTGCTTAACTATTTTTTGGGGCAGAGGGAGTTCTTAAGTATTAGCTATGCTGGTCTTAAAAAGTTACATGTCTTATTAGTTAAACAACCTCAAGGGAAATTCATTTAAGGACATAAATAGTTTTCCCACTGCCTATGAGGCAGAAAAGAATACAGCATAGGAAACAAAATGGAAATGTAGATTTAGCAATAGAATTTCACCGTCTAAGTAAAAGCTGTTCCTGCTACTGGAAATACTTGTTGCAGAGAGAAAAAGAAAGGCTTAATAGAAGTAAATTATGTTGGTATTGCTTAAATTTCAGTAATTGAGCATTTTGACAATCTCATCCTAAATCTTATATCAACCATGTTTTCTGATAAATTTATTTACATTTTTTCTTGCTATAGCAATACAAACACTAACTTTTTTCCTAGTTTCAGAAAAGTCTTACAGCTGGCTATTTCTTCTAATGACTTGGTGAGGATGATTACATGTTTTAACTAATGAAAGAGCCATATGCAGCTTTTATTCTCATTGAATAGCACTTTATTCGATGAAATGTCCCATTGGTTCATAAAACATGGCTTTATTTTGTGAGAGTTTAGATTATAGACACTAGTTCTGAAGAATATTCATTTTGTTGGCCAGAAACAGATGTCACTGTACAAAAAATTCACCTGAATAACTTTCAGGGTTCACCTGGATAATGAAAACCAATTCCAATTCTCTCTTTCTTCCTCTAAACCTCATACTTCCATAAATATCTTTCATACCATACCCATTCTCAGTGCCATTTTAAAGTTAATACGCTTGATAATTATTTTCTTGACCAAGTATGTTATTCCTTTTACCTCAATAATATCTTCTGTCTATGTAAACAAGATTCAATCCTAAATCTTTCCATTTAGTCTTGTAGATTTTATATACATAAATATATAAAGATATCATACATTTAATATCTTTGTCCTAGAAGTGATAAAAACTGAACTTATTACAGAAATTGTAACTTTTCCAATAAGTTCCATTAATTTTAAAGATATTTAAACTATTCCATTATGGATGAATAAACAAAACAAGCAGTTTCACAGGAAAGCCTGCATTAAAAAATAATCTCAGTAAAAATAATGAACAACTTTCTACACACTCTTAAAATTTTAGCATTGCTTATATACAATGACCTTTATAATTCCTTCTTGAGCTATTTCTTATCACATGCCTAAGAGAAAAATGTTAATTCTGCCATAGTATCAGAACATTGACCTAATAATGATCATGCTTATAAATTATGCAAAAATATGTGTGTATACAGGTACACACACAGACACACACAAAGACACAAATATATATTTCCATGACAGGTGCCTGGACTTTGCCTAAATTCAAATGTTCATAAGTACATTAATTTTATTTTAGCATTACTGAAAGATTATCTGCTTACCACTCGAGAATGGATTTCTTTGGCATAAAGAGGGAATAAGAATTCTGACTCCCCTTCCAGACGAAGGCCTTCTTTTGTAACACGCAGGTGTCCCATTCCAGTCTGAGGAGAAGATGCAAGAATTATGCACATTTTATTATTGCTGCTGTATTTAGTTTTTGTTCTTTTCATAAACTGGAAATTTCCAGAGCTGCCTGCCTCCAGTCTATTGATAAAGAGGCCCATATTAATGCGCCTAAAATTTTGAGAATTCCTCATTTCTTCCAGGAGTATTTTTCTTTAAGAAATTGTAGCTTTCAAGAAAAAATTATTTAAATTGGGATTTTTTTTTTTTCCCGAGGAAAAAATACAATATTACAGTCACTAACTTAAAAAGAAGTTAATTTGTATTGGCTGTGCTGAAATAATCTTTGTACTTGCCTTCTAAAAATGTCATTAACAATAAACTTTTACACACGAGTATTCACATAAAACAAATCTTATGTTAACAACTCAAGGTTTATTCTATCAATAATGTATTTTACAAGGAATATAATACTTCTAAGCCTATTAAAGAGACAAATAGGGATTTTTATTTGCTTCCATTTTCAGTAATTACTTCTTTCTAGACAATTCATTTTTCACTCCTTAGTTTATTTTTTTTTCTCCTCTAATTGTAGGTCAAGGCTCTCTTTCTCACACTATCATCTTCCTTTCTCTCTGTCACCTGCTTTTCAGTTTTTGTACCTTCGTTATTCTCTCTTAGTTGCTCCCACGTGATTTTAGCCCAGTTATGCTTTCCAGCCCATATCTTATTTCGTTCTTTTTACTTTCTTTCATCATTACCATAGAATTGATAATGAGAAAAATGAGTGAGGAACTACTTCAGTAAGTACATCTGCATACTTGCAGACTTCAGCTGCAAGGTATTTCACAGGTACTTAGCTGATTTGTAAAGGATTCAACCCTCCCCCTGCCATAAAAAGAGAGAAAACTTGGCAAAAAATTTGCAGCCCTACAGCTTGGCCACATATGAAAATATTTCAAGTTAACTGCCTTAAACTAGAAGGAGTAGGTGGGAGGGCTAAATAATAAACAATAAATCCAAAAAGTATTTCCACTCCAAATATTTTTCAGGTTGTTCTGCATGTAAGCAGAGAAGAAGAGATACATGACAGGCCACTGATGATACATCAATAACCTGTTCATCTAATGAATTATGCCTACTGCTGAAAAAAGCTGTAACTTTAAGAGATGGTAATTATTTTCAAATATGGTATGTTCTCGCCAATGAGATTATATATATTTTATACATATATATATATATAGACAAGTAATGCTAAATAACACGTCTAACCAGCCTTCAATGAAAAACGGTAGCTATTTTCTTTTAACAGGCTTGAAGAGACACAAAGAGAGAAAGAAGCTTTGCTTAAATTCCATAAGGCAAGAAATATTCATGTCAGCAGTTCACTCCACTGGAGAGTACAGCTGTGATTCCTCCTCAGCAAGGACTTATTTCAGGAAAGAGGCTTTTAGAATAGCTATTTATGGAATCTGTTATTCAGTGTCAAATATCTTACTGCTTTGAAATACATAATGTACTGACTTTTCTCAGTGGGAGTAGATACAAATTCTAAATTCTAGACCATTGCAAAGCTTTTAAAAAGTACCTAGTATATACTGATACATCTCATGAGGCAAAACTAAAATAATACCTATGATAAGCCCCCTATGGTTTTCATAATCACAATTCCTAGGCAGCACTGAGTGATTTAGAAATACACTTTTCTAGTGAAGACTATGGACAGTTTTTTCTGACTTGTAACACAAAACAGAGATCACTGCAACACCATAAAAACATATAGGTTTTAAGACAAACACTTTTGAAAAATATGACATGAAATATCAGGATATTCTAAAGAAATGCCACTAACAAATGGATCTCATTTAATTAAGTAAATTTAGGATCTCATTATTGCTCTGATTTCATGCCTTTTCTCATTAGGTGAAAGTAGATTATATTAACCATCAAGTTTAAACACAGTTTGCATATTTTTCCTGGAATATAAGAAACTAAATAAACAGTATATTATACAGTAAGTATAAAAATGACATTGAAATTTAAGAAGGCAGAGGAAGAAGTAGCAATTAATTCCTGCTCTGAAGCAGATCTGGGAAAATTAACAAACTCCTGGGTGGCAATCTCTATCCTGCCTTTGGCTTTGCCAGGAAAAAATTTTTAGTAGAGACAAAAAACTATAATTGATGTTGAAAAAGAAGATTATGCAATTTACTCAGCACACTCTAACGGATTCAGATTTTTCAGCAATGATTATACTAAAAATGCTATATAGACAAAGGAATGTCTTTGACATCAAGAATAATATGCCATGTGACAAAACTTAGCACTTTAACTTATAGATAAGTTCTAATTTTTCAGTAAATCCAGTCATATTACTGAGGATTACTTTGTATGAGTATCTCCTCAAGTATGTCCTATTTTCTTCATCAGATATTTCATTTAAGGATTGACACAAAGCTAACATTCTCGCATATTTGAGTAAGAGCTTCATTATCTATTCTCATTGACCACTTGGGAAGTGCAAAAGCATATGGAAATTTAGACTTGGGTTACCTGCATAAATGACTATCTGTGATAACAAACAGATGAACTCTGTAACATGCATGAGAACAACAAAAATGTGGATTTCATCTAATGATCCTCACTTCTATTACCATTGTGGCTGTAAACAATTATTATTTCCCTAGTACCACGATATTTGAGCATCTCAAGATTGTAAAAGAACTGAGTTATGCAGTACTGTAAGATGGGGAAATTCTATTATCCCCCTTTTATAATTGGCATATTGAAGTTACATGGAATGTAAAAGAGAGGGATTTAGGATAAACAACCACCTTAATGCACTGAAATCCAATGATAAGTTCCATAAAAAGGAAGAGTATAATAGTTACACATAATATTCTCTCAACAACCACTCTGTTTCTTACATTATGAGAAGCCAATTATTATTTACTGAGTATTGTGACTTCCTCAGTGATGAACAACCTTGATGCTTTCAGTTTCAAGGATTTGATTCTGTTCCTATTTAAATGATTGAATAAAAAATATTTCTATTGACTTGAGGAAAGGGTCCAAATTTCAGTTAGATGTGGACTTTGACGCAGTTATACAATAAGCTATTGATTAGAAAAAAAAAAGTGCTTCGTTAAACATAGCGGATGTATGGCAAGTCTGGACTCCTGTTATCCTGACATTGGTGACTGTCACTGCGTGAGTGTGCTGACCCTGAGCTGTAACACATTGTAGTGCATATAACCCTGAGGCTCATGTTTTCTAATTCGTCAAAGCCCTCAGCGAGACAGGAACTGAGCTATATAGAAGAGGAGGATGAAGTTGTATCTCTATAGACACTGAGCGGATTTTGCTATTGCTGCAAGGAGTTGATTGGTGTGGGAACTCCTGGTAGCTGCCAAACCCTTATGCACCAAAGATGCGATTTAGCATTAGTGTTCACAAAGGTGTGACCAGTTTTACTTTCAAAACTGCTAGGCAGATTCTAATTGGAGTAACAGGATGTCTTCAACTGCAGTAGAAGTTGTTTTTTATCCATTGAAAATGCTCTCAAGGAGGTAAGTGCTTGTAGAAACAGAGCCAAGGCCTTCTACAAGAAATTCAAGCTCTGAGTGGGTTCAAACCTCATAAAAGTTTAACAAAAGGCTCTTTGATTCAGAAATCATGGTCTAAAGGATATTTGACAGCTATTCAGCAACTTGTCTACATAGGGATACTCTAAACCACCTGATATTAGTAGCCACCACTACTAGAATCCTAGGTTAGATTCATCATTCTATGGAGCATCTGGATCGGAGTACCATCATGGATGGGTTGTCACTCTCCTAGACTCCAGACACAACAAATGTAAAATATTTTTCCTCCAAAATAATGGGAAGCAGTTCCATTCTCTGCAAAGCCAGCAGAGAAGTGCAGTATGTCCACAAGCTGTGGAAAAGCCTTTAAGTTTCTTTCAGAGGACCATAGAAGGACTGAGTCCTTTCTCAGGACCAGAAAGTTCCACAAGTCATACTGGTGATATGACTGCCTTCTTCTGGCTATGAATATCTGTGTTGAGGAAAATATAGACATGACTGGATAAAGCAAGTTCGACAGCATTGGTATGGCTAGCGCTAAAGGCCTGACTTGTTAAAACAGGATGCAAGAACTTTCCCTCTTTCATCTGTTGTCATAGTGGAACCTGCTGCTCTGGCTCATGACCAAGAAAGTCACATGGAAAGAGTTGCACATGGCACATTACTGCGTGACTACTAGGAGTGGAAGCAAGCAGCTGTAGCTCTAGGGCTCTTGCACTCAGTGACTTGCCCTCAGGCAGCTGAGCTTTCTGCTATGTCATACATAGTCAAACGAGCATCAGATGATATATTTGGGATTTACCTCCCAAGCCAATATAATGATGTAGAGGTCTGCTGCTGTAGGGATGTGGCCCTTAAAAATGAGGGTGAGGCATGAGGAACATTAATTGAGTTTTTGATGAGTATTTCTAGTCACCTAAGTTCAAACAATAACTGTAACTTGCATTTTCCTTCCAACATAGATATTGATACACATGGGGCTCAATCACTCTTCTTACATCACCACTGTTTCTGCACCTTCTGAGCATTAGACTCAATTGCAGTCCTGACTCCTTAAAACAATGGAAATTAAACTTCTGGTCTATGTATCAGCTAATAGCTGTACAGGTAGATGTGTATTTTCCTCTTTTGGGGAGAGATCAAATACTGGAAAGACAGGCGTATCCATATGTTAGGATGGTTACAACAATAAAATCTCTTAAATTAATCCAAACATTGCTTTAACATGCACTCAATTCAAATTAAAGTAGCTCCTGTCTCAGGAGTTAATAGCATGTTTGATTTGTAATACCTGCTCCCTGAATATTCAAATTTCCAGATATTAAAAGTCCACATATGCTGTAGTTGCTGATTGGAACTGATAATGATATTAACTTCAGAGTAGGGAGGATGCAGCATTTCCATTCAGATAACACCTTTTCTTACTTACCGGATACTTAACATCCCACTTT